TGGGGTCTCACTTCTACGACGGAGTGGGTCTCTAGATTGGTTGAATATGTAAGTGTTAATCTTATGGAAGAGAAAGGACAACTGGATCAAAATAGTTTTTGTGTTTGTACAAAATAGGATATTGTAATCTTAAACTAATCCCATGCTTCACTAATCCGTTCGAATGTGCGTGTTTATCAAACAGAATCTCAGCTTTTCATGAAAGTGTAAACTCTTTGTTGGAAAGCCCTTGTCTTCACATCTCCGTAACCCATCTTCATAGGCTCTCAGCGACCTAGAAAAATAACCTCCTTGCTAGTATCCATTCGATAGATCAGGTTTCTCATCTCCTTATTGCACTGCGTTAAAATGGCTTAAGATAAATCTTTCGGCATTGACCAATCCCTGAGAGGTGCGCCATGTGTTCGACTTCATCAAGCAGCGTCGGTGGCTGTTCGATGTACCAAGTCAGTGCTGCTCTCCTTCACCAACTATTCTGTAATCAACCTGCCTCCCGTGGAATACTGAAGACGTGATGAGCTTCGGCATGGGATCGAACCAGAAACCACATGTGTTCCACGGCACTTCCAACCACTACGCTACACCTGTCCTTTTGTATTCTGTTAGAGCCATCTCAACGAGTTTCCTGATCGCTATCACAGGAAACAGCTAGCATTTGCTTAGCAGAAGGTTGTTCTGCACTCTACAACTTGATTCCTACCACGATGGGGATGATTTCTGGTTGTGGTGTACTCATGGCTGGACTTCTGAGTGAATGTATTGAGGCTCTGGCATTTCCTTAACCTACCGGAGAGCGCTGCATTTGTTTTCGCCGAAGCTCCACATCCGTGAATTCACCTTGTGATGGTGAAATTATGAATGATTCAGGGTCCCTAGTGCTTGAGGTATAGCGATTCTTTGTTCCGAATTCACGACTTCTACGCAAGTTTAAGTGACTTAGAGAAACTATTGATCGAACATTCGACTATTCATTTTACACGTTTTGGTCGTTCAAACCATTGCCTTAGATTCCTGATTTGAACTTGCGGGAGTTTCCCGAGAATAGTTGAAGATTACGAGAAACGTTCTAGTGCTAGCCTAAAATGTCTTCAGGAGAATGCTCCAAATTCGTAAAACATCTGTGGCATTCCTTCTTTTGATGTTGTTGTTTCAAAAGACCCACTAAAATCTGTTGGAACCGACACGTTGTACCAGACTTTTCTGGTCATTGTATACGCCGGATCCTTCGCTCACTATGTTAGGAATGAAGTCGAATGCATGACGCATTCGAAGCGACTGATCAACACCGCACACTCCTCCTTTTATGATTGTAGGATTAACTACATAATACTAGCACTTTGATAATGGAAAGTAATCGAGGAACTGAACCATGAATGCTTGGATCACAGCCCTAAGTACGACCCATTAGGACACTCCAAATAGGCCTGGAATCCACTTCCATTTAGTAGAGTGCATTTGGGACAGAGACGCAGAGCACGAACTCTGCCCGTCTGCTGCTACTTAGTCTGCGAACGCTGGTCGGTGTTCGTTCCGTTCTTCTTCGGTAGTATCAGAAGTGTTCTTGTTCTTCAGTACATCTCTTCTGTCTTGCAGTGGATACCGTCTAGTATTCTATAATGTTGCACTTGTCAAAGCAGTGGTACTGTAACGTCTCCATAGGCTTTATCGTGTATTTGTGCCACTGTAGTACAAACTGATGTAGCGACAACGATGAATTCTGCGAACACTATTTCGGTGCATTCTATTGATCGATCCATTCGAATCGATCGAACTGTACTGCGAGAAGTTTCCATGGGCCATTGCAACACGCTACTCGAGATCCTGCTCTGTTCAACCGTGGCCATGATGTGTTACAGGATTCCATGGTCAAATTAGTTAACGTAAAAGCGACTACTACACATCGTAGAATTTTGTGGGTGTAGGTTTGCCTATTCAGTATTGTGGGAGAATAAGTTGCTTTCGTATTTCTCATGGTTTGAAATATTAGTTATTTTTTCTTATTTATTTACTTTCGATCGATGTTCGATCTCGACCTATGATTGGCATGAAGAAAACTCAGATGCCTATTATTCACTTTAAGCGATTTTCTTTTGAGGCTGTTCTTCATAGCTTTATACTCATGCTGTAGTTTTAGCAAAGTCCGACGTACTGTCGTGATATAAGAGGGTCGTGCGTCGAATGTCCTCTGCATGCGAACTCGTAGCTGATGTCCACAAATCCTGACGGAAGCCACACTTCACGTCAAACGGCCGGATTGGAATAAAGAGAGTAGCATTTGTGACTGAGTATCACCAGATTGCGGTAGGATGCTTGTCAAGTTAGGCAAATTTTGTGACACTATGTGCTCGTCATGTCTGGCGATTTTAGATTTCTTAACAAATCAAAGAAAACCTGACAGACCCGGGCTCAGAAACATTATTGATCAAAGCGGTGTGAAACACTAAGTAGTGTATGAAGATATGAAGTCGTTTTGTTGCCTCGTTATTGCCTGTATGCTAGTTATTTTCGCATCAACCTCAGTAGTTAGTCTGTTTTTCTAACATTAACCCTCACTTTATGCTCTCAGGTCCAACTTTCGACGGTGCTATAAGCTTAGAGTACTTTTTTCTAGTTCTTAATGAAAACTCCATCGCTCGTTAACGTTTACATGCCGTAGAGTAGGAGCTTAGAAAGTCCTCCCAATTCTGACAAGGCCCAGGTCTGACACTCATTGAAGCACTTCATGTTGTTCGCTGAAAGGAGCTTTATTCGTTTATTTCATACGAACTGACCTTTTACTAATGTAATGCGATTCCTAAGACCAGTATTCGATTCATTCACTCATGTCCGTATTCCAAGAATGTTTTTTGATTTTGCTTTTGGATTCATCTACCACTGGAGGATTTTCGGTTTGCTCTATGGATATCTTTAAATGTTGGTTAACCGTGTTAGGGCGTTTCCAGATCATTATCGCACACTATGGCCGGCTTTTGTGAATTGTAGGGACGAGGTGATGCCTTACAAGTCTGCTACTCCTTTTCCATCCTTGAAGAATAATTCATAATTCATCTCTTTTTCTTTATTTCACTAGTTACTTGGATACTTGCGTAGCCCTTCTTTAGCGGTTGAGCGGGCCCCAGCACAATTTCCATTTTTTCGGAGTTTTGCTGGTTTATGTATCGTGATTCCCTGGAGTCTTGAGGTCAGCCTAGCCAAATTCCGCCTCAGCTCGTCGCCACCACAGGCAGTCCCCTCCCTTTTGGATCAGAGGGAGATTTGCCACTGTGCGACTAGTTTGATACCATGACGTTGGTGGATCTCGGTATTGGTTTTACCGGTTACTCTTAGGTGGGATTGCTAATGAAAACCGGACTCCTTAGCATGGTATACATTGCCGGGGAGATAACCACCCGCTGTACATTGCAACCGTACACCCAGGAACACCTCCCAGCTGCGATAAGGCGTTAAGCCTTTGGCAGTTTTACTCAAACGAGTTACTCAAAGTTGACGTTTGAACAAATTTCGCCTTCTTCAGAACCCACTATTCTCCTCCAAAACCCGGTCCTCCAAATATTGCACGCAGTGTGTTTCCATCGTAGTAAACTTCTTCAAGTGAACAAACGTCTTGTTTTCTTTGCGTTATAGACAGGAACACAGTAGTAGAATTTCATTATCCAGTACTTGGTGGGTGTCCTCTGGTAGACCACGTACATCGTGTCTCTTTTGATGAAGTTTGGAACGACTTGGTGTTTTATGTAGCGGCGGAGAGAGGCTGTTGCCTGTCGAGTTAAGACAATCTTTTGTCTTAGTGACAGTGCTTCTTTTACAAGTCGGAAGTGTCTTTTTGGTACATCTTGCAGTATTTCCCAAGACCGACTTTTTATTAACGTTGGCATTGATCAATTAGTCCGCATTTTTCTGAAGGACTGTGAAGAAGGCGGAATCCGTCGAAACGGCAGCTTATGTTTGGATATACACTAAAGTAACAGCCTCCTTCTTACTCATCAAAGAGAAATATGATTCATTTGATGCGTGCCAAGGTTCATAGAAAATAGGTCCTGGGAATAGTTCATAAGTTCTCATTCCGGTATTTATCTACGCATACTTAATATGTTAGGTTTTGTTTGACATAATCAGAATTACTGTAATCAGGATAATGTTTACTTTTTATTTTCTGCCTTCTACTATTTTATGGCAGGGTATTAAGTGAAATACAACCACAGGATTGCTGAGATATTTGTGAAACTCCGGACCGCAGGTCTCTGCGGTGGGAACGAACGCGCTATTCTCTTTTCCGGGGAGTAACGCGTGCACCACCACACCATGTGGGTCCTTCGTTTCGCCTGTCTCTCATTTAGTTCTATCGATCTGTGCCGTCAGCAATCACCCGTCGGCGATATTGATCTGGGGGCCTACATCAGCATTGAACTCAGTTAAGCTGAGGCTGTAGTTGAATCCACAATGTTTACTTTTTATTTTCTGCCTTCTTTTATTTTTATGGCAGGGTATTAAGTGAAATGCAACCACAAGATTGCTGAGATATTTGCAAAACTCCGGAATGGACAATAGCGCGTTCGTTCCCCACCGGAGACACCTGCGGTCCGGAGTCTTACAAATATCTCAGCAATCTTGTGGTTGAAATTTGGATAGTTTGAAATGCTGGGAAAAGCAATATTGTATAATGTTCAGGAAGGTTAATGTAGATTCGGTGTTCTCAGGTCAAACTGGATAATCAGTGTATCCACTAGCATATGATTGCAAAATAGCAGCGATGGATTGATTCAATAACGACTTCATAGTTGCTTCCAAACTGTTGCATCTTAGGCGGGGCTGAGAAAGGCAGTTGAAAGAATAAGTACGGATTTATAAGCTTGTTGACTGGTTTTGGCTAGCCGAGGTTTTTTCGTCTTTGTGTTAGGTATATTTTATCCTTTCTTTTATTTATTTTTCGCAGGTCATGCGTCGAACAAGAAATTTAAACAGGAATTCTGTCAAATTTACTATTTTCATGTATATAGGCCATGAGTGAAGTTGAGCGGCTCGCTGAAGTTCGCGAGAAGAAAGCGAAAAATGTCATGAGAGAGATGAGGATTCAGAAACTTTGTCTCAACATTTGTGTGGGAGAGTCAGGTGATCGGCTTACACGTGCTGCAAAGGTAAATGCTTTAAGTTTTGTGCAGTATACATTTGTTAGTGATCTAGCAGAAAATATAGGTACTGGAACAGCTTACCGGTCAAACTCCTGTCTTCTCCAAGGCAAGATATACTGTTCGGTCGTTTGGAATTAGAAGAAATGAGAAAATAGCAGTACACTGTACAGTGCGTGGACCAAAGGCGGAGGAAATTTTGGAGAAAGGGTTGAAGGTCAAAGAATTTGAGTTGCACAAAGAAAACTTTTCGGACTCTGGAAACTTTGGCTTTGGGATTCAGGTGGGAAATCTTACCTTGTAATTTTTTGTTATGTTATTCTGGTCATATGTATATACTCCTAAAACAGTAAAAATCGCACAAAGCCTCCGTTTTGTGCCTGTTGTACCTATTTTTTTCTTTTCTGATAAGTGTCCATTTTAGGAGCACATCGATCTTGGAATCAAATACGATCCATCCATCGGAATCTATGGGATGGACTTCTACGTGGTGCTAGATCGTGCTGGTCGTCGTGTTGCCAATCGCAGACGCGCACCGGGTCGCATTGGTCGATCTCACCGCGTAACTCGCGATGAAGCAGTAAAGTGGTTTCAGCAAAAGGTACACATGTTTTGCTAATAGTCGAATTGAGTTTTCGGACCAGTTTTTTTTCAGTACGACGGTATTATACTGCCACCGAAACCGAAGGTTAAGCGCGTCGTTCATCGTAGACGTTAAATCGTTCATTTTGTTATGACATGAACTGTTGATCTTTTGTGTTGTTCACGTTATCGTAGTTAGCATTTGTTTTAAACCATTGTCATTTCTTAACAATAGAAATCTAAAGATACCAAGATGATTTGTTAAGCCTGTGTCTGCAATGACGGATGAGACAGAGGAGGTTGGGTTTAATAATCGCTTTTCAAGGAAACTAGCCATATCATGATTAGAAACACGAACTCTGTTATGGTAACGGATTTGTATATCTACATTGGATTATCTGTACTGTATCGGACAGAGCTCCACTGTGTGAAGGATCTCGTGCTAGTATGCCAGGTAGCTACGTAGTGGATCCAGGTCATTTAGAGGAAGCTTGGCGCGGATCGGTAATGAGCCTGTGCTTGCATTAGATGAGGTAGACGGACTGCATTTTTGTTTTGCCAGGTTTATTTATATTTTCGTGTATAACTACGGGCTAAGATACGAGGATGTGTTGGTTTGTATGTGGATTGTATCATGCACATCGACTCAATGAGAAGCTTTACTTGTCACGGAGTGAACAGTATGACTTTATTTCTATTGATAATAACCGAAATTGCCTCTCATAACGAAATTTCTCAATGAAGGCAAAAGTCGAGTGTTATGGGCCCAGCCAAGTGCAAAGGTGCGAAGTACAGCACAGTGGTGCACGCGTGGTGGTTGGTTCATTCCAGATAAGCCTCCCATTTCTTCGGGGCTGCAAACTGTTGTCATGCTGGAAGGATGCTGGGACTCAAACCCACAAGGGGGGGGGGGGTTTCACGTGCTATCCATCACGGCAACGGGGACCCTTGATTTGCTTTCCGTTCAGTATTGTTATTACTTTATTGATGCTATCAGCAATCACTCCGTCAACGGAAATCATCTGAGGAGCACATATTACTTACTATACGTTCTTTTTTCATGCGAGAGTACGATGTAAAATAGGGTCACGGGTACGCTGCGATATGCGCAAAAGTAGGAGCTACAATTCGAATTCGAACCTGGGCTACCTTGCCGAGGGCTCATGTGCTATGCACTGCACCAACTGAGGCCTTGATGTAGTTTCTTCCAAACTGCAAAGAACGATTCTTGTCACGTGTTTGTTCTTATTTGGTCTACCGGATGTAAATGCCGAGCTAAGCTCAGTCTAGGTGACCCGGAACGAAGGAAGCCTGCTGTACTTCTTGACAATAATTGGGTATAGCAAGCTTTTGAAACGAAGCGGCCAACCATCAGAAGAGGTCGCAAACATTGGCGATAAATGATAACTCTGCAATAACGAATTCACCTAAGTCATCGTAGTTATCGAAACTCAGGATGGTCGTCAAGGTATAATTAGCCGAACATGTCACGTACGAGATATCCCACCCACTCTTTAACATTTAGGACTTCATTTACTTCCATAAAAACACAATACAATACAACGCTAGCTGACGTTTCGGCAGTATCGCCTTCTTCAGAGCCTGGAAGGGTATACTGATATACAATCTACTAGGCCAAACGCTTCAATAACACTTACACAAAGACGAAAGACTCTTTGGTAATTAATTAACTCTTCGGTAATTACCAAAGAGTCTTTCGTCTTTTTGTAAGTGTTATTGAAGCGTTTGGCCTAGTAGATTGTATATCAGTATACCCTTCTAGGCTCTGAAGAAGGCAATACTGCCGAAACGTCAGCTAGCGTTGTATTGTATTGTGTTTTTATGGAAGTAAATGTATGCTGTTTAAAAACCTCGCGATTGCTGAACAAGAAAACGACACATTCATATTCCAATGCCGAGGTTAAGAGAAAGNTGTAAGTGTTATTGAAGCGTTTGGCCTAGTAGATTGTATATCAGTATACCCTTCTAGGCTCTGAAGAAGGCAATACTGCCGAAACGTCAGCTAGCGTTGTATTGTATTGTGTTTTTATGGAAGTAAATGTATGCTGTTTAAAAACCTCGCGATTGCTGAACAAGAAAACGACACATTCATATTCCAATGCCGAGGTTAAGAGAAAGTCGATCCTGGGAACTATTTAGGACTTCCCTTTATTGGAAGAAGCAGCATGTTCCGCGATAGAAGAGAAAATGAAGTGAGGATACCGTGCTCTCCTGCGATGATTTTGGTAATAGGCCCTATCAGTGTGGACGAGTTTTCACCTATCTGTGCCCTGTGTGGACGAATTCACACTAGCGGCCTATCATGTCTAGCGCTGGGGCATGTTTTCTATTCAATAGTTGGATGTATGGGTTCCTGAACAATTTTGATGTGAACGATTATGATCGGACGATTCATTCATAATAGTGGCGGATTGCTTTCACAGCTTCGATTCTCCGTGCTCGCTTCGGCTGTCCAAGGTTAGTTACGCTTTGCATTATTCTTTTCATTGTTTTTCCACAGATATGTGTTGTTGCAATCCAAAAGGGTCGACGAAGGGCTCTGCTGGCAAGAAAAGTAATATTCTGTCTTTGATGTAACGATTAGTGTCTATAAATACTCAAAGATTGTACCGTAATGGCAAATTTATTACGACATAAAAGAATGTCGCAGTGGTCGGAGACGCCCTGCAATACACATGGGATCGTTCCTTGGGCACCAGGTTCACCAACCTCTCCATCCCTCCAGGGTCCGAAAATTGGTAGCGGACTTGTCTGGGATCACCGGCTGGGTACATCGGTATGCTACCACAAGTTATTATAAAGGCCAGGTATGCATTCACTCACCTCCAGCGATGTTCAATAAAGTCGAGAGCATAACGCCTCTCCCGGGGATTGATCAACGCCGAAGGATTTATCGTTTTGTATAAAAGTGTGCTGGATGTAATAACTAGGTGGACATAAGGAGGAAAGTGAAACCACAGCGGTATTTTTGTAGCTGCTCATCTGTGCATTTCCAGGCTTCGAGTGTCATTTATACATGGGAAGTGGAGACTTTGAATTTAGGAAAACTTTGTGTGGGCTCATTCGTTTATGGTGTGGTACAGCTTTGTGCTCTTGTTCTCGAATAAAACAAGCGCAGCTCTGAGCATCAGCATACAAACGTTCGGACATGGGATTGAAAATATATGCTTTAACTATTAGATAACCAATGAATGATTAAGGTTCGTAGGGTTAATCGCTCTCCTTCAGATCTGTGAGCATTTTGGGTTCCACATAAAACCCCCTGAAACAACAAATTTGAATTTCGCCTCTACTGATATATAATAGCTGCCTCGTGGAAAAATCACTTATCCATCGGGTATCCCCAATTTTTATGTACTGGATGCATTTACATCCGTAATTATTATTAGAACATGAAGAGGTAGGTTTCTAGCAGTAGGGTAGCACTCCTGACCCAGCATTCTTACTTTGAATTTTCTTGTCAATAGTTTTATATAAACGTGTACATTGAGTACATTGTACAGAGATTTCCCACACAACCGTGTATAAATTTAACGACAAATTCTATTCGACTATCGAATATCTGCTTTATAGTGGATTTTGCGCTGTACAAGCTTGTTTATAGGTTCATCTGGTCATTGTCCCATGTAAGGTTATCAATTATCTTTGCTCGCCAGGTTTGTTCGCAGCCGAAGAATTTGTCAGACATTTGAAAATGCAGTCGATTTCAGACATACAGCTTAAGACAGACCCAATTGTGCTACTACTTGCAATCGTTATCATTATAATTGTGAAGCAAATTAAAGAAACGACTTTGAGTGAACCTTTTGCACTAAGTTCTATTGGTTGCAGTTATATTATTTCGGCACTTTAGGGCGTGGAAATGCATGGCGTGCTTGTCTCGGAAAAATTTGTCGTACCCAATATCTTCGACATTATCCGGTAACACTGGTTAGACCTGATGGGTCAACTATAGAAATACGCTATCTGGAACCCAGATCAGTAGGTGTATTTGGTGTGTTCTCCTCACTTTGTAGTTCCGTGATCTCTAAAGGGAATTATTTTTTTTATCATTTCTTTAACGTTATTGTTCTACGCCTATGTTAAATAATTGGTCTTGATTTGACATGACGGTTTTGGACGTTCTTGATGAGAATTACTTGGTTCGATACGATAATCGTATACAGGTGGTTCAACTACCTGTGGATGTTAATTCATTAACTGAAGAGGAGAAGCGACAACGTCTAGCTGCACGAAAACCGAAAGCAAAGAAAATCATTCAGGTCTCGTTATTGTCCAATAGAATAGTTTTGTTTATTTTATGTCTGTTTCTGGATTAAATTTTCCTTACAGGAAACAATAGATGATAACTTCGACCCTAATGAGTATATGAAGTTTTGGAGTCCACCGATCGAGCAGATGCCAACAAAGGATAATGGAGAATTGAGATAACTGGTGTTTTCTACTGATTTATTTAAGATCGTATGAATAAATTTCTACTGTATACGTCGTCATTCCGTTACATTGTATGGTCTTCACACCATTTCGTTTCTAGTGTATTTAGCATATCTGTCCACTCGAGCCACTAATCCTTCTGCAGGGTTAATGGCTCCTAAATACACGATTTTGTTGCCAACTTACAATGAGAGAGAGAATCTTCCAATCTGTGTTTGGTTACTGGAGAAATATATGAAGGATAAGGATTACGAGGTTACTTTCAGCTGTTTTTGTACGTTGAATTAACATTCAACTCACTTTCATTAAGTATTTCGCAGTTCAAGCTCTTTTGGCAGTCTTAAGAATTTCTTCGATCTTGGGCTTGAGTTTTTTCCCAAAGGTACTTATAGTATCCCACCTTCCAGCCTTTATACTTCTATTTGCATTTATACATTTTTTATGGATTTTGCGTACGAAGAAATAGTTCGTTGTATATTAGGATTACCACATTCACTATCACTGTCATCGCTACACCAATGATTATCTCATTTCCGCCCACCAATCTGCTACTCATGCTATCTACAGAATTTTTCGGCTTTACATCAGAAGTTTGAGAGCGAGAAATGATTACTATCATTGATTGGTCTTCAATTATCGTTGGATAGATGAATTGAAATTGTGCAATATGCGGTCAGAACACATTTGACACGACGTTTTAACGAGGGAGGTAAACGCAGTAGGATTATTCCTCACTTACTTTAGGCGCTCCCAATTATCTCATGGGTACAGAAAATTATGTCTCTGCCTCCCATGTAAACACTAAATCGTAGGTGTGTTTAGCACAATTAGTAAACGTCCTCGAACATTGGTTCAATCCCACGTCCTTTGTTAACTAAGCGTCTCATCACTCCGAAGTTGGCAGATTGGTACTCTTCTTGTTTGGAATGGTAAAAACACATATGGGTAGACCTCAGTTATTGTATAGTACGAGAATGTGTATTAAACCATGTCTGTGATACTTCACGAGGTAAAGTTCATCGCGCACCTCTAAAAGATAGACCAGCGTAGAACACTTTATCCTTTATCGTTATAAGTGGAACAAGAAGCTGCAAAGTAAATTCCCAAGGTCTTCGACTAATATAGTCTAAAGACGAGAACTTTTGTATGACTGTTTTGGAAATATACCAAGTGTGTACATTAGTATTATTGATCCTAGTACTGTGTAATATAGAGGCTTATGGAAATTACCACGATAGGTGATTGTGATAGATGACGCGAGCCCAGATGGCACAGGCGAATTGGCTGCAAAGCTACGTGATGAGTTTGGCGAAGGCAAGATTATACTCAAACCAAGAGAAGGAAAATTGGGGCTTGGAACGGCATATATTCACGGTCTTAAATATGCGCGAGGACAGTAAGTTTTCGTGTTTGTAATTTTCAGATGGTATGGTTTCATGCGAATTCGATTTATTGTTTGCTTTTAAGCCAGTTGTCAATGATACTGCTTCGTACGACGTCTTTAAATCTTCTTTAGCATAATGTTTTTGATTAAACCTTTATGCTTGTCCTTCCTTGTGCACCGCTCTTTTTTCGCTCCTTTCAGGTTTATAATATTAATGGACGCAGATCTATCCCATCATCCAAAATTTATAGTAGAAATGATAGAACTCCAGAAGAAAGAGAATGTGAATGTTGGAACTTTTTTAGAGACGTTTTCTCCGTTATCTTTTCCTACTCTTCTGCTTTTAGCTCGATATTGTAACTGGCACGCGGTATGCTCTTGGTGGAGGAGTTTCAGGTTGGGACTTGAAACGGAAAGCTATAAGTAAAGGAGCCAACTTTCTTGCTCAAGTACGTTCAGTTTCTTTAGGGAAAGCTTTCTAAACTTAAGATTCTTTCCACTTAACAAGGTATCTGCTGTTGGAAGGGACATGCGCTTGTTGTTTTTGCTTCCAAAGTGCTTATAGTAGGAAACTACAAGAAACATTATGTTACATATGCAGTACACTTAGGTGGACTGTTTGTAATGTCTATCACAAGCTCTTTCTTTGCTTCTGTGTATTTTCCAATGTGTCTCTTCGCAAAATTTGTAGAGCTCACTCGATGTTTCGTAATTGGCACAAACAAGAAAGCCAAAAAAGTTTTAAAAGTTGCTAGACATTTGTTTTCACGAATAGGTACTTTTAGTTATGCAGTTACAATAGTTGTATTGTTTTGACTGTATCACCTGTAGTCTCCTTGATCGTCGAGTGACTCGAGCGGGAGCCAGTAAATCTTCCATTTTTCCCTGTCGTGTGCAAGAGTGAACCAGTGGGTTCTGCTCGTTCTAGGGACTCGTCGAGCATGATATCTTTCTTCTAGGCTCTTCGTGAAGAACTCTGTCTATCGGTTCGGTTGTCTTCTTGCAGTGCGTTTGACATCCCGAGGAATACAGTCACTAACGGCTCTTGTCCATCGGTTGTCATTCATACACATTACGTGTCCTGCCCAGCTTATCTTCCACTATTTGGCGTACAGAACGGCATCCACGATTTTTGATCGTAGACGTAGGTCGGAGCTTGGGATCCCTTCCCTTATTTACGTGACATGGGACACTTGTAGCATCGTCCTTTCGACTTCGTGTTCGATAACGCTGAGTGATCTTTCATCCTGCTTCAGCAGCAACCAGGTTTCTGATGCATATCTTAGGCAGAAAGTACCGTTGAGTCGAAGAGGTCGGCACTGAGTCGGGTGTTCTTTGTCCTCTTCATTACATCATCGATACTCCTGAAGGCTCTCCAGACTGCTCGTTTCCTTCTGCTCGGCTCTGGAGCTAAGTTGTTCATCATTTTGATTTCCCGACCTAAAGAGACATAACTGGAGCATTCGGAGATATTCGTTCCGCTGAGCGTGAATGGGGCACATGAAACCAATCCGCTCCTTATGAACATCGTTTTTGTGAGATTTAGTCGAAAACCAATCTTTCCACAGGCTTTATCAAAGTCGGCAAGCATTCGTTCCGCCTGGCTTGTGTTTGGTGTTATAAGGACGATGTCATCAGCAAAGCGAAGATGGTGTAACTGTCGACAATCGATTTTCACTCCCATATTTTCCTATTCTAATGTTCGTATGACGTTCTGGAGGGTGGCTGTAAATAATTTTGGCCAGATGGCATCACCTTGCCTAACTCCTCTTTTGACGTCAATGTTAATATCGTTTTAGAATGTTGATATCCTGGTTGTGAAATTTTTGTATAGCTCACGAAGAATCTTTATGTACTGAGTAGGGACTCCTTGACTATTATGAGCTTCCAGAGCTGCTTCTATCTCAATTGAATCAAAAACCTTTAAAACGTTGAAAGTGAGACAGAGAGGTCTTCTGTACTCTCGCGATACCTCAATGAGCCTTGTTGCCATGCGGATGTGGTCCATCGTGCTAAATCCTCTTCGAAACCCAGCTTGCTCACACGGCTGTCCTTCGTCCAGTGTTCTGTTAATTCTGTTTAGGATGACTCGATTGAAAAGTTTGTAGATGACAGACAGTAAGCAGATTGGGTGATAGTTGCCGATATCGTGTAGGTCACCCTTCTTGAACAATAACACGGTCTTGCTGGTCTTCCACTGAGTAGGGACCTTGTATACAGACAGGTAGAGAACCGAGCTAGTGTGTTGACGAGGAGTGGCGGAAGGTTTTTCAGGTGTTCTGGTGTTATTCTCTCCGGACTTGGTGCTGTTCGATTTTTCACCGATGAAAAGGCATGTCGGATTTCGGAAGGGAGAACCGGTGGTACAACGTATCCATCCTCCTTTATTTCACATAACGAAAGGTGGACGTGGCTATCGAAGAGATCCGAGTAGTATTCGTGAATGATTTTCCCCACTGCCTTTCTGGACGCTGTTCCGCATGGGCGTCGGAGTGCAATCATTTTGGTCTTGTAATTGCCAAAGCTGCGGTGGGCTTTGCAATGCTTTTCCCAGCCTTTGCAGCTTCGACCATTACTGCTACTCTTCTTTCTTTAAAATCTTCTTTTATCGTCTGTCTGCATTGTTTTGCTAGTTCGAATGTTAGTTCGCGGTTGCCTGCAGATCGTGCGATTTCACGCTGCCGTATCAGCTTGAGTGTTTCTGGAGACAGGCGTCTGTTGGTGAATTTCGAACTTTCGGCTTTCATAGCACTAACGCGAAGATGTTGAATGAGCTGATCGTATTCTTCGTCGGTATTAACGAAAACGGCATCTTTCCAATAGCCGACTAATGAATCGAGTAAGGTCCCAGTTTACGGTGGTTCTGGGACTTCGGTCTTTGAATTTAGCGGCTTTTTCTCCTTTCCTCAAGAAGTAGAATCTTGCATGAAGGAGACGGTAGTCTGATCCCGTGAAGAATTTTGAGACAACAGCGACATCGGTTAGGCAAAACCTTCCGTTTACTATGTGGTCTATTTCATTATGGTACTCTCCATTGGGAGACTCCACGTTCAGCGTTGAGTGTGGGGCTTCTGGAATGGCGAGTTACCATGTATTGTCTTGGTCGCCGTGATAAACTCAGAAAGCTGCTCACCCTGTTCGCTCCATTCTAATCCGTGGGTCCCAGTGTGACATTCTTCGTGCGTTCTTCTTGTTCCAATCTTGGCGTTAAAATCTCCAATGATGCTTGGCGTTAAAATCTCCAATGATGACCTTTAAGAATGTATCGTCTTCTTTGTAGAACTTCTCCAAGTCCATATAGAACGCTTCGACTTCTTCTTCGTTATGGTTTGATGTTGGCGCGTAAACGACGAAGGTTATCAAAGCCGGTATTGATCCACGTCTTTTTAATCGTAGACGACGGATTCGGGTTGTGAGCTGTTCGAATGAATTGATGTTCATGGACAAACACGTATTGACGAGAACGCCGACGCCGCCGACTCCTCTACTGTCGCATATTCCGAGGAACAGTTCTTTTCCGGTGTCATAGACGGTGTTGAAAGGCTGGAGTCTCCTCGTCTCGGCCAGGCCGATGACGTAGTACCTAGTACCTTATCCTTCTTGCTTGCATGAGCAAGTCTTCTGTCGAGGACTTGGATGAAAGTGTACTTGCATTGTAGGTACAGATCGTCACCATAGTTCTTTGAAATCCAGGCAGCTTCGATTGGCCCTGAGATTTTAGCTTCCTCTCCGTACTCGTCCTACCCAATGCTGCGAAATTGGGAGCTTCTTCGGGGTCAGGGAAATAAGGCCGTTTTTTTTACTGTGTTTATCATTTTGATACCCACGTAGAGCTTGCCGGACTGTGAACGTAGGGGCTGGGTATACGATGAGCACGCGTAGCTTGTCAGGCTCTCCCAGACTGGTCATCGAGCTTATATATTGGAGGCGATTCCTGACCGCCTCCCGTACACTTCCCTGTCACGTGATTGCAGGCTCTTAGCTGAATTAACTCGTAGAATACAATACGCATAAGCGAGAACGCACCCACACACGCATGCACGAATACGCTTAGCAAATACGGAAAGTGTGTGCTAAATCAGCGCAGCAGAAACAGGGTGTCCATCTGTTGAATCCACCTTCGTCTCTGGAAAGCAAAGGTCGCTTTTGGTCTGCGATTAACACCCTATCCGCCACCTGGATACGCGCCACGTAACCTCGCGACTAACCGGTCCGAGATCCATCATATGAGGGGACCCGTGAGGTGGGTAGGCTTAGGGTAAAAAAAGCTATCTGAGAGAAAGGCAAAGCAAGGGCATGGGTGCTGCAGTAGTTATTACGTGGTTTCCCGGAAAGGGTAACCGCGGGTTCGAATCTAGCTGTGGTCCGAGTTTCGCAAATATCTCAGCATAATTTTGATTGTATTTCACATAATACCTGCCGTGGGAATGTGGTAAACGGGAAATAGAAATATAAGCATTTCGATGTGTACGTATGTATACATGCATGTACGTAGATGATTTTTTCCTAGTTTCTACTACGGCCTGGTGTTTCCGACTTAACAGGATCATTTCGTCTCTATCGTAAGGAAGTTCTTGCTCGGCTTATAAATGAATGTGTCAGTAAGGGATACGTATTCCAGGTCAGTTTTTATATCATCTTGCATTCTGGTATGACATTAAGATATTTACATGTTCTTATCTTCGTAAAATAACAGATAACTTAACGTAGGTATTTGTTTGGGTTCTCCTATCATTATGTGTTCAGATGGAGATGATGTTCCGTGCAAGCAAAGAAGGCTACCGTATCGGTGAAATCCCCATATCGTTTGTTGACAGATTTTTCGGTGAGTCGAAACTGGGCACTCAAGAAATTGTGGGTTACATAAGAGGTTTGTTGTACCTGTTCTTCTGCGTTAATTAGATGCTTCCTTTTCTAAATCCTTATCTTTCTTTACGGTTCAGATCTTGTCATGTGGTTTTTGGCTTATGTTTGTTTCGAGTTTACTTTTTCGGCGCTCCTTTGGGTTGACTGTGTTTTATTTAACATCTATCTCTTCATTTTGTCAATATGGCATAGTGGTCCAGTAATAAATCTTATTCAATGTGATTCATTCATTGCACATTAAATATACGATGGCTTACAGTGAAACTTTCAAAAAAAACAACTGCATTGGAAGAAAACTACCAATTCGTTCTCGCGTTTCTTCTTAAAATTATTTGAACATGCTGAAATGCATTAAGTGAGGATTTCCTACCAAACCATACTTAGCTGTCTTTTTGTACATATCGTTAATAATTTGTCCAAGTTGAAAATTTGGAGCCAGATTGGCAAAGGGGATCTTTTCTCTGAAAGTTAAAGTGGAGAAACACTTGTCGAGAAAGTGCCATTCTTAGTTTTTGGGATTCAACTGTTTTCTTAAAAAATCCTACTTTAATTAAAGGTTAGAAACATAAGCCAAACAAAAGTTTTGTACCAACCTCCTGTCAATTCAGTCATGTAGAAAATTGCTAAGTTCTTGTTTGTTTGTTCAGTTGAGCACTAGGTGAAACGGCCACCCTTTCAGAGATAAGAAATTTGCATTGATTTTCGAGCTTCGTCACCATACGTCTATCATTTGTCTTCCTTTATACTTAACTGTGCTAATATAAATAATAATAATAAATCAGAACCAAAGTTTATCGTTCCCAGGATCGACTTTCTCTTAACCTCGGCATTGGAATATGAATGTGTCGTTTTCTTGTTCAGCAATCGCGAGGTTTTTAAACAGCATACATTTACTTCCATAAAAACACAATACAATACAACGCTAGCTGACGTTTCGGCAGTATTGCCTTCTTCAGAGCCTAGAAGGGTATACTGATATACAATCTACTAGGCCAAACGCTTCAATAACACTTACAAAAAGACGAAGAACTCTTTGGTAATTACATAATCAACAACTTCTCGAAAAACCCACCGCTTTTTTCGTGACTTCCAATGAGGAAGTTTAGAACAGCTGATTATAGTCGCATGTGGTTGATGACTGCACCATCCCACATCAAAA